TTCCAAACAAGATGCAAAAAGTGGATCTTCGATGATGCCTATGGTGGACATATGTCGTCCACATGGATTGTGCCCCGTAATAACTCCTATCAGGGTTCTCTGCCTGATGAGGAATTTTGTTATCAGCCTATGAGGCCTGTAAGACCCTACAAAGTGCATCATTCATCAATCTTATTCAGGATTCTCTGTGTTCTTACACAAACCTGCCTGAGAGATTTTGTTGATGGCAGTAAACAAACATTATCCGCGTGGATGAGAACGAAGTAGTACCAAGCCCTACAAGAGAAGTGAGAGCACCCCGCTCTCACGGCATTCTCTTCCAACCTCAGCCATGGTATAAAGGCTAACTTCATCCGCTACAGTCAGGAATCTTCTAGATAACAAGAAGTGAATTCGCCTTATGATTGTTTCGTCCACTCCCAAAGTAAGCGTTGTCAAACGCCCCTCAACATCAGCAAAAATTATTCCTATTGTGTACTCACCTGCTTCCTGCCTTACGTCGATCTTTGTTACAAAGTCATGTGGAGCTAGGACTTTCCACTTGGGTATGCAGGTTGGTGAATATTAAGGGGGCTTTTCACCATCATTTCCCTATTTGGAACAAAACAAAATTAGCCAGCTATTTTGCTACCTAGCTCTGAGTCTGGTCGATCGAACACAATTCAACAGGTCACCTAAGGTATCTTTGAAAATGTTTAGCAAAATTAAAAGGCAGTATCTTTAGCACAACCAAAACTACGAACCTTAGAAACAAACGATGTCCAGTTGAGAAAAGCTCAGCCAATATGAACACTCACTCACACACACTCACTATATTCATTGCCCGATTCGCACACTCAATTAGGCGGTTTGAATGTCAGTGAGGTACCACAAATGGTATTGATAACCTTCGATGACGCTATCAGCATATTAAATATCGATTTTTACGAGGAGCTTTTCAACAACCAATCGCGCTTCAATCCTAATGGTTGCTTGTTACGCGGCACTTTCTATGTCTCGCACGAGTGGACCAATTATGGTATAGTGCAGGATCTCTATGCGGATGGACATGAGATGGCTTCGCATTCAGTCTCGTAAGTTGGGCGTTGTAGAGCTTTTTATTGATATTGCGCGCGCTTTATGTGTGGATTTCGTGTGTTGTACCGAGAAAAATTAGCGGAGGTTATATTGTATACTTAAGTATTTACATACCTACGCGTATGTACATATGTATATGTGCATGTATGCGTTCATATGTGGCCCAGCATGTGGTGACCCTCCTTCCTGTTAATTTTTTTTTTTTTCTTATAATAAATTCGCTTCCCCCAAACGTCAAGCTGATATTCATCAATTTTTTTAATAAATATTCTTGGTTGAAATGTTTCATTTCTACGCTATCATTTTCCGCCGCGAATTTTAACGCATATTTTAAAAAAAATTTTTTTTTTAGTTTTAATTTTCTATGGCGTTTACTCTCGATCCATATGTTCATGTTTATTTGTTGTTATTTTTAATTTGTTTGTTTACTTATTTTCCATTTTAATTTTATTTATTTACATGCCCATAATTTGTATTTTTATTTTACAAATCATGCATCTCTTATGGTGTCATACATACTACTATAAACCACATCTGTATGCATCTAAATGTGTTATGGACCCCCTGTCCCCGCTGTCAAATACCATCCAATCATCATCTCATAAATACCTCCTATCGAAAACTTGATGCGCGTGCGCTCCTACAGGCGATTTACCAGTTGAGACTGTACCTCAAATTGTGCTAATCACATTCGACGACTCTGTTAATGATCTGAATAAGCAACTTTATATCGATCTATTCGAAAAGGGGCGTGTCAATCCGAATGGTTGTCCTATAACGGCAACTTTCTACGTATCACACGAGTGGACTGACTACAGTCAAGTGCAAAATTTGTACGCCGATGGGCATGAGATGGCCTCACATACTGTATCGTAAGTAAAAATTTTAAAAAAAATAAATACAATTTATGATGAAGCACTTAAGTAGCCAACACTGACACGCACACACGTATACTTATCTAAAATCAAAAGAAAAATACATTACGGCTCGTTACGGCAAGGAAGCACTGAGCTGGCACTGAAAATACCGAGCACACTTCTCTACAAAGCAAATAAACTTTTAATATCCAGTAAAGGAAAAATGAACTTAAAAACTACACACTTTGCAACGTTTAAAAGGAGCACAATTATTTTTAGTGGATTTCAAAATAACACCTAATTCATTAAATAAATCGAATATACATACATAAGATAATAACCCAGCACCATATTTCTTTGCTTTTAGGAAACTCGGCAATCGTAGCATCTAGGGATCTAACCTATTTGTAGTTAATTGAAGAAAAAATCACTACGAAAATAAAAACCCTTATTAAACGCTTAGAAACTAATATGGCCCGTAATCATTAACGATTAAAATTTTGTTTTATAGTAATCACCATTTTAACTCTTTCATAGCCAACTTAAAATGCATTTTACGGCAAAAATAGAATTTTAACTTTAAAATGAGGAGAGCGTGATTTTAAAATGGTAAAATAAGGTTCTGGGTTTTATTTTGATGTTAAAGTAGTAAACCCAGGTTCGGTCTCCACTCCAAGCGATTCCAAATAATATTTTTTAATTTTATTATAATTTTTTAATATTTCATTTTATTTATTTTATTAAATTTTATGTTATTATCTTTTATTGTTTATGGTATTTCACAAAATTATTTCAAATTCATCAAATTTTTTGGAGTCTAATTATAATTAAAAAGGTCACAAAAACTATAACTACACAAAAAAATTAAAATGGTATTTAAAAGAACAAATTAAAGATGTAAACAAAAATATTTCCTGCCAGTGGGATTCGAACCTACGGCTTCCCGGCTTGCTAAATCCGCAATCTTTCAGCGGACACAGGGTGAACTTATTAAAGTACTCATATTTCTATATATTGCCCAATAAATTTTT